TTTCAGTTAGGTACACACACACCAACGTGAAATTATTTGAAAAATGGCCATCTCGTGCGAAACGCGTCAACCGGTTGCAGAACATGTATCCGCTTCGTACTCAGCGCTGAATTTCCTATTGGTTCGAGAGATTTGTTGGTTCCAGAGCTATTGCCGCCTTGTATGAGATTCCAGTCCGGCGCAAAGACTCGTACGATTTCGTAAAGTCACTGGCCAGTGATAAGGAATGCGCTGCAATGTACGTCTGCCGGAGTGCCTCCAAGACTGACATACAGGACCCCGGCCATAGCAACAGGTCCCTCTTACTAAAAGGACATGATTTAATGCCCCTTTGCGATCTAGACCGTCAGGGAGGTTAATAGAAAGACCCTCAATGGGAGTGATGTTTCTTTCGGAAATATGATCAAAGTGAATAAGCTCTATATCAATGGAGAGGGCCCCTGATCATTAAAGGGCTCGGTGCCTTATCATATATGGGCACCAGCAAGCAGCCTAAGACCCTGTGAGCAAGTGGACAGAACCGAAGGCCAGTATGAATGACTCCTGGATAACTGACTGCATCCCGGCGTAGGTAAAAGCGCATAGAGCTGTCGGGCAAATGTAAAGAATCCATGGGTGGCCCCTGATCGATTAAGAGTGCCAAGGCACGTTAGCAGATAGTGTCCAACAGCAGCGTGAGGCTCTACGAGAAAGTGAAAGGAGTTTAAGGCGATGTGGAACTTACTCACGATCTGGTTTTCTTGGCAAGTGGACCTATAGGGGCCCCAGAAACATTTTAAACGCCTCTGGACAACGCGATGACACTCAGAATTTCCCCAATTACCATCCTTTTAATCAGCAAAGAATTTCGTCCGCTCACGGCTCTTCACTTTGCTTTTGTGCGACTGTTTTTGGTCGTCTGGAGGACTAAGAAGTCTAATTTTGTTGTGTTTCGTTTTAGCAAAAAGCGACCGTTCGGCCGGTTATGAGCCTTTTTGGAGCGTGTGGGTTCCCTCAGGGTTACAAGGGGGTGGGGGGTGGGGAGGGGAAGGGGCATTGCCCATGCCTCCTCCCCAGGGATCCGCCAGATGGACCGCCACGGGATCCAACACAACTTCCAGACGCCGCATTAGAAAAGCAATGACACTGTTTTGATGCTCTCGTAAAACAATGAAAAGGCACACCAAATTTTTTACCTTCGGTCATATGCGAGGCCACAAAGGCCACAAAACGCTAAAAATGGTCGTTTTGATAGGTGCAGTTGAAGCCTCTTTGAATATGTCAAAATGGATATTGAGGGCAAGAAAATAAGCGTTACGACTGTGAAGAGCCTATTGCGATCATTTCGGTTCCCCACATCAACCAGGTCAGGTCAGATCACCGTCCAAAATGGCCGTGCCAGTCGCCAACAAGAACGATGACTTTTCTTCACAACTGGTTTTGAAATAAGTTTCATTTT